GCAGGAAAAACCCCACATATCAATTGAACAGCAAGACCCAGAATGTAAGTTATACTTCCATTAAGTTGAGATGACCTAACAGTTTTTCCAGCTGGAGAAAGAAATGTATCATTTTTGTGCAAATGAAAGTAGTTTATGGAAAAGAGCCACCAAATACGAGGCAAAAACTTCACAGTCTTCATTGGTGTTTTCTGAGGAATGAGATTGAACCAGGGGGTCTTAACTGAAGATGGGGACAGGTGCTGTACTCTGGAAACAGCCAGTCCCAAATGCGCTCAAATGGTGGGGAAACTGAGGAAGAGAAGATCACGTGCAGGTGGTCCATTAATTTCATTCCCTTGTCTGCAATACAGTTGTCACTTGTACAGAGAAGGGTGTCTGGGTACCTGCTTCGAGGGCTTTAAGCAACAAAACTTATTCTCAGTTAGATCAGTCCAGTTTGTACTTGGGCCAAAGAAAAGCAGCCTGCCTTACAAAGCACCAGCCTTACAAAGAGGAGGATTGTTCAGTGAGAGAAATAGAGGTGGTGAGGGCCATGGCTTGACTTTATATTCTACCTTTTCCTAAGCTGACAAAATGGAAGGAAAATTCCAGCTGGTCTTATGGCATTTTTTTTTAATTAGACAAGTCAAATATTTGTGTATAATATAACTTGCGGGTTTGCATTTTAATACTGAAAACATTATATTCTAGGCTTAATAAAATTATTATTAAAATAAAAATATGTAGCTGCTTGGTCATGGGTAAACTTATGATGCATGTCTGATCAAGTAAACATTCACCTGTGTGACCATAGTTAGTCCCAGTGGTCCATTAATTTCATACCCTTGGAGACAAAAACTTGACACAAGTAGAGTTTTAGGAACTGGGTCTAGTTTTGATGTTCACACTGATCTGATTCAGAAATATTAGGGCACAAAGATGATCAGTGGGCTGGAGCATCTTTCTTATGAGGAAAGGCTGAGACAGCTTGGGTTGTGCAACATGGAGAAGAGCTCCAAAGAGATCTCATGACATTTTCCAGTATCTTAGAAGGGTTTATATAAAAAGGAGGAAAAGGAATTTTTAAATAGGCAGATAATGACATGACAAGAGGCAATGGTTTTAAACTGAAGAGGGTAAGTTTAGATTAGTTGCAAGGAAGGAATCCTTTACTCAGAAGGTGCTGAAGTGCTGGAAATGTTGCGTAGAGAAGTGATGGATTCCATCCCTGGAACTATTCAATGTCAGGTCAGATAAGGCTCTGAGCAACCCAATCATATACAAGGTGTTCTTGTCCATGGTAGGGGAGCTGGTACTAGATGATTTTTGGATGGCCTTCCAACCCAAAACATTCTATGATTCTGAACATAAGCCAATAAGAAGAATATTATATGGACATATTACTGGAGATTTCATTATTACAGTATCTGCTCTTGTTTACTGTGACTATGTTGTTGGACTTTTCTATTAATGAACACTTAAGTGGTTGAGGACTTTCTTGGGATCAGAAAAGGAGCACCTAGTTGTAATAACACTCCTGAACTTTTCATATTACCTTTCTAGAAAACTTCTGTAAGATTAAAGCAAAATTGAAATTGGTTGAAGCATTTGAAGAATTACCTGATATTACAGAAATCAATAGATTCCATAATGACAGCTGCACTCTGCAGTTCTCTCAACACATTTTCAGAGTGAGTTTGTGGAGATGCATTTCTTCCATTTTGGCATTCATTCACTCATTGGCACGAAAAATCAAGGCCTTCCAGAGTTTCTATCTTCTTTACATTTTTTTTGTTTGTTTATTTGTTTGTTTGTATATTAGGGATACTGGCTCCAGATTATATTCCTGAAAGAAGAAACATCTAATGGTAGCTTATTTTCCTAATGATATACCCTAATGAGATCAGGAAAATATGAATTGAGCTTGAAAGGTAAAGGAAAGGCTGAAATTCCTAATAAAAAGGGAAAATCAAAACAGGATTTCTCTTATGTCATGCTATTTTCTGCTCCATTTGAAAGATTGCTTTTGGAATGTGACAATATTCGGGTGAAATCTCCAAGTTTGAAAAGTCAGCTTCAGACTGTCAACACACAAGTGTAGTTGTCTGTACAGCCATTGATTTCCTTTGCAAAGGAATCCTAACATTTCATATTTCATAAAGATTAGTCTACCCCAAGGCAAGAAGGCAAAATCCTGCTTTCCCAGTTGTTGTGGTTTGGGAATGGTACTCTGCAACTTCATGATCCCACTGAGACTCTCCAAACCACAGTGCCATGCTCTAGATCCCCCATTTTCCCTCCCCTTCCCCCTGCAGTGGGCTGGGCAGGAGAATTGAAGGCACAAAAGGTAAAGATCACAGGTTGAAATAAGAATGACTTACTGGAAACAGCAATGAGATAAGAGAACCAACAGTAACAGCCACAATATTAATAAGGATGTATAAGAGAGAGGCATTCACATGCATCTACGTTTCTATTACTGAAACTTGATTTGAGGCATTTTAGCACTACAGAAAGACAGTCTAGGAATTCCATTCATTCCAGCTACTACTGTGTTGGACTGCATTTAGAATTAATTAATTAGAAATTTGAAAGCTGAAAGCACTCTTATGATGTTAAATTTCATACAATGACTCTTCCTGATGACCAAGCATCTATTGATTTCAGGGAATTCCCAGGACAAAGTGGATCCTCAGCGATCTAATCCATCTAAATCATGGAAATTTAGCTAATACTATAAAGGTAAGGGTTTCAGGTTGACTTTGGGTGCAGCATCAGAGTGCTTTTGTTTCCTCCGGAGAAAATACTATAAAATACAGCTGTCATATTTGTAAAGCTCCTTTCTTCTTGCTAATAGACTAAATTACTAGGGCTACATGGTTAAAACCTGGGACATCTCTGCACCTTCCTATTCTTTGTTTGTTAATTTTGCAAGGAAACCCATTCAGTGTCTGATTAACTGGTCGTTAATCATTGATGAGTGTGAAACTCATTCTTCTAGTAGTGCATTGCCTCCCCTATTTCATGTGTGATAATAATATTCTGAATCCTGACACAGCTGAAGTATAGACAATTTGTATATGTCTGGATAAGTAGAGATACAGGTTCTAAAGACGAGCATGTTGTTTATGTGGTAGAACTAGCAATGAGTTATGGCTCCAAAGAAACAGAATGTCATGTTTCTTTCTCCAAAGAATGGGATTGGCACAGACCTTTGTACTACAGGAACCTATTTCTCATGAAATGAAAATGGATAATTTACAGCATTCCTAATCACACAGAAAATGCCTTGTGTGAAATGCCCCGTATGTGTTAAGAGATTATGGATTTGATAGTGTCAATCTATAAACAGACACAAATAATATAGTGACTTGGTTCAAGGACTTTACACAGAGAGAGAAAATAAAAAATAAAAGCACAAGTGCTGTAAGATAAAACCTTGCTATATGCCCAATTTGGAGTGAATAGGGTTTTACATGACAGAAGCTTAAAAAGGTTTCACTTAGAAATTCATAAGAGGTTTCAAGAAAAGGCTGAAACATATTTTAGTGTTAATGTACTAAACTGAAGTTGAAATTTAAGTAAAATTATGGAATTATGTTATTTTCATTTTGATTTGCCTTACTAAATGACAGACTTCCTCTTACATGGATATAAGATTTCCCAGCATTTGATTCTGAGTGAACAAGCTTTAATGCTCGGCATAAAGACTATGAGAATTTCTGACTATTTCTAGTTCAAAAGCCACACTTCACTCATTTCAATGGAGATTTTTTGTGTTTTTTCCTGATTTGGGGCTCACTCAAACTGTAACCAACCTCTGTGAGAACAGGAATGGGAAGTATTTCATTGGGAATAAAATGGATGTGGACACAACCTCACACAAGACACAAGATCTCCCAAAGAAACTGTGCCAGTTCTAAGCCAAACATTGTTCTGACATTATGATAAATCCTGAAGTTATTTATCTGTACCCAGAATTTCCAAGTTAATGAGAAATATTTTCTTCAAACATCCCACAGTGTTTTTATACACAGCCCTACTCACTGCAGGTAGATTTCATTGCACAAACAAGAATGGGTAGATTCAAAGACTATTTATGCTTTAAAAATCTCAGTCAGTGCATTTGATTCATTTCATGAAGCCTTTTGTTTTACTGCCCTCCACCTCAGAAAACAGCTGTGAAGCCAGTCAGCTGTGAATGGGTTAGCTATTAGCAAAAGCCTTCTAAAGGTAAGCATTAATATTGCACATAGTAATATTGGTACAAACATTGAGTAGAAAAGGAAGGAGAGGGGAAATAAATTAACTGACATCAAGATCAACTGGTTTTGATCTCGATGAGTTTATGAAATGAATTCAAATTCTTCATTTGCAAGAGTGTTTAAGATCAATCTTTCTGGACATAATTACCATGTGATTAATATGAATAAACTAACTAGAAAAACAGACATGATAATTTCCTTTCATTCTATTACATGGATGATCATTGTTTCAATGTCAAACAAAATTAAGCTTTGGCCTTAAAAAACTACATAGCAATCTTGGGATTCATTTAGGATGATAATTTTATGGGATTTGTTTGGCTGATGGTTCATTTTAAATAATGTCATGTGCATCTTTAATATCTTCTGAAAACCTTGATGACAAATATCGGCACTAGGCTGTGCTTTAATACTGTCAGATTTTTAATTTCAGAAAGTGTAAACATTGCCAAGTTTTGAAGGTCTGAACCAAGGATACTGACATAATTTTCAAAGGCATGGGTAATACCTCAGCACCTCCCTTCAACATAAAACCCAGAGGTCTGACACGAGCAAACCTCTCTATAATCCACTTCATGCATAACATTTCTGTCCCACATCCTTCCTGATTATTTGTGAATCCACACACCGAGTGGTGTTTTGCATATGAGGTTCAGGTGATGTATTTTATTGCTGATTCTGTTTCACCTGTATTTAGTTCCAGTGACATGGAAAACACTGCAGCCAATTGTCCTTATTACAGTCCCTGTGTATTTCTCCCCAGTGCACTTGCACAGGGGAAAGATGTGAGCGTGGAGTGTACTTAACTGCCAGGCTGAATGGCTCTGTAATGTAGCTTCAGCATGGCATAAATTAAGCTGTCATTTTTTTGGCAGCAAGTGCAGAGAGGCGATTTTCCTGTACTGTAACATTTGAAACAACAATTTTCTGGCTCCAGCAGTAACTGACAGTTCTGCGTGATACATGCTCAACATTTGTGCTTCAGGGGACGCAGCTGGAAAAAACCTTTGGGGTAAGGTATTGTCTTTATTAGCAAATCGAGCTTGCAGTCACAGAACACTAATATTTCCTAACTCTTTTCAAAGACCCTGTCACACCCTAAAAAATTATACTTAAAATTTACTAGATTCCATCAAGGAATTTAACTGGGTTGCATATATGCAAAACACTATTTCTGATAATTACTTCAGACCTATTTTCATTAGGAAGATTGCTTACCCAGAAAGGAGCTGGCCACCGGTATTTTATTGGCAACCTGTACCAAGATGATGGCTTGAAGGGCGGCCAGGTTTGGAAATGATCTTGAAATGCTTGGCCAGATTCAGGCTGGTGAGGAAGGAGGATGCTGACAGTACTGGGGAAGGAGGGAAGCAGCCCCTTTCCAGCTCGCCACTAACACAGACTCTGAACATGCCACAAGCAGTGAGGGAAGCCTCCTTTTTCTGGCAAGGTGTAGCAGTATACAGAGTCATTTCACAGAGGTGAGACAGACCAGGAAATTAAGAAGTCACCTGCATTAGTGAAAAGCTGCTTTATTGAAGATGTGAATTTTGCGGTGTTGTTTCAGAAGTGTGGTCAATTTTGTCATCATCAGTTTTTAAAGGTTCCAGAGACACATTCTGCTTTTTCTGGTACAATAGTGAAATCAAGAGAATTACACTTGATTTTCAGTTGTATAAGTCATTGTAGGAATCAGCTCAGTATAGTATATGCCACTTATTGCTAAAAAATATTTGCAACACTCCTAAAGTATTCAGATATTTTGACACTTGTGTATTCCTTTACTACTTCCAAACTGAATTATGGCCATGGCTGCTGGCAGGGGTCCTGGCAGCCCCTGGGAGTGGACTTCACCACATCCTGACAGTCACTCCTTGTTGTCCATTTCAAATATTTTAGTCATGAAACTCACATTTTTGTCATTCTTTCAATGCCCAAGTTCATGCTGGTGTTGATTTTGAGATCTGTCTCTTTAAAGAACTTCTGAATCTAGAGAAAAGAACTGCATAAAAATCCTGTTCCCATTTCTTTTCCACACTTCAGTAAGTTTCTCAGAACTACAAGATTTGAATGGCCAGTTTCCACAGAAATCGACAGCATCATAGTGATGCTTTGGAAAGGATGGGCTTCAGCACCTCTGTGCACAGGAGTATTTGATCTTTTCCTGTTCTGGTCAAAAGAGGAGGAAAAAGGAGAAAATATTTTTTAAAACATTCATCAATGAGCTCAATTTATGGGATTGTTGCTGTCAAGAAAGAGAAGTTACCTCCGCTGATTTTTAAGTGAGATCTAAACGCTCTGCTGCTTTGTCATGCTTGCTGTAGTTCACCTTCATGTTTATGTGGTTTAAGATGTAGTAATATGAGTTGAGACCTGACTTTTATTGTATAAGCATTCAGTTTCATTGACAAAATTAAGAGTCTGTAATTTCTTTTATCACAGACCCAGATTTTAGAAGTTTAAAACTCAGCCACAGAAGTAATTTTGGTTAAAGCTTTTCAGTTACATTGCTTTAAAAATCCTTTGTTTTCCTTTGTTCCCCAAAACCCAAATTCTGCTTTATCAGGTGTGTTCTATATCCAGTAAATCATGTGAGTGGTACCAAACTAGGCAGGGAGCACCTCTACCTTCTGAAGCCTGGCTTGTGCTGCTTAAAATTAAAGAAGGCTTAGTGAATCAAGGCAGGATGAGGCACCCACTAGCATCCAGTTTTTCATGTATGGAAAGTATTTTTTTCAGGAGACAATCTGATTTGGGATCTTTGGGACTCTCAGTTCCAATAAATTCCTGTTCTGTCTGTGAATGGTTATATATTCTGTACCTGAAATGATGAAAATCATATTTTTCCATCAGGTGAAAGACACACCCATAGTACTTCCAAATTTGAGGTTCTGGAATGAGCTGCACATATATTAATGGGATTTCAAGATTAACTGGGCTTTAGGTTGATCAAATAGACTTGAACTGGAATAATTTTAGTGCATGAGAGGTGCTTTTCTCTAAATGCACCAAGGGAATAGCCAAGAATGTACATTCTACACATACTTCTCTTCCAAAAGAAAAGTATGGATGATGCCCACAGAAATAAAATTAACATGGGAACTTAGGAGAATAAGCTTTGTATTCCAATGCTTTAACTGTAGTTTTACTTAAAGTTATTGCACTAATATTTGTTCTTGCTTCTGAAATATAAATAAAATCTGTTTGCCCAATCTAGAATATCAGATTATGCTGCTGCTGCTCCTTTTATGGGAAGTTTTAATATAAATCTCTTTAATGCACAATCTTTCACCTTTTTATAGCTCTGATTCTCAGGAATAATATTTCCAAAATTCCTATTGTGCATCCATTTTATTATTCTACTTTCTTTTAACTGGTGTCTCTAACCTGGAAGCCAAAGTGTGCTGGTTTATGCTGAATTGCCAAGTATCTGCTATTTTCCTCCATACCATCAGCACTGCTGGGCTCTAGCATTACCATGCTTTGTCAATGTTAATGCAAAAGCAAACGAAGAAGATGCCCTTTGGCAGGAAACACTTCTAGCCCTCAATAATAAACAATTTTTGCACCTCAAATGGCTTCTATAAGCAAGTGTAGTCAACCCCTGAAGAGAGCCTGTACCATCTCATTACAGGGCAGCAGTAGTGAGAAAGCAATTCACCAAGCTGTAGGGTTTGCAATCACCCATATTTTCTGCTATGAGTAAATAACCCAAATTGATTTAATCATAAAAGAATAACAGGAAAACTACATTGATTTCCAAATCCCTAATGTGAACATCAGAATATATTGACTAAGTAGCATGTAAAAAGGTTTTATCCATTTGTATGAACTGAAGAAATATCAATATTTGATCATTACTCTAACAAAAAATTACGACAATTTGCAGTCATCTCAAAATGGACTGAAGTTGCATTATGCAGTGCTATGGTTCAGTCTACAGGGTGAAAGTGATAATGCCCCATTGTATTCATAGGCCCAGAAGAGAAAAATCCATATTTCAGGCGAATGCACCTCCTATTTATTGTTATAGGATACTTAAATAACCCTATAGAACTGGTAAATAATATAGAATTGTTTTTGTTAAAGAAACCAGCTAGCAAAAGAAGATGTTAGTCCTATAACTGTGCTCACCACAACAAATGATCAGTGCTACTCAAAACAACCTATGTCAAAATAGCAAAATAAGAATGCAACTGTTTTTAAAAAAATACAATGATTTCCTTGTGGAGATGCCAAAAATATTTTGGGTCATACAATAACCATAAATTGATCTTAATTTTTCAGTGAAAGACTAAGGATCAAAATTTGCTTCAAGCTTCTAATAAGGTGATACTGCCTTGACAAAGCTAACCAGTCCACTTAATTTGTTTGGTTGGCTTGTTTTGGTTTTGTTTTTGCATTTAGGGTGGATGTTAGGGTGGCCACCTGGAAATGAGAGCAGAAGAGCTCTGTGGCCGGACAGTTCTTTGCAAACAGCCGCTGGAGAAGGAAAAACCCTTAAATTGCACAGACAGTGATGTTCTATCCCATCAAAATTTTCTTTGTGCTGTCAAAGACAAGTTTCACATGGACTGAAAACTCTACAATTTAGCACCAGCTTTTTTATTGGAAGATCTAATGGGAGCAGCTACACCAGTGAGCTGATGGAGGAGCTCTTTGGTGGAAATTTGCCTTGTACCTACAAAGTCTGGTGTTTGAAAGTGCCACTAATGATTTGTCCCCTGGTGGAAGTGGGCTTGAGGTCACACACATGGGCACCAGGCAGAGGAGCCTCCCTGTCCTGCAGTGTCCTGCAGCAGCAAGCACTGTGTGCAGGCACAGGGCACGCCTGGAGCCTGTGCAAACCTCATGGCCAGTAAAACTGTGAGAGGGTCACAAGGTCCTAGACTCAAAAGTGGCTTGTTGCAAATCAAATTCCTTCTCTCTGAACTTCACCAGTTAGTTGTGTAGGCGTTCCTACATCCTGTCCTCATGATCATGAATTGCAGCCTCACCACGAAATTCTGACGATCACTTAAGAGCCCAAGAGTATTCAGGAATATTCAGCTGTAGCTAGAACAAGCAAAAAGATGTAACAGTGCATTTGAGGACACAAAACAGCCAGCAGAAGTTGTTCCAAACCCCAAAGTTTCCTTTCTTTGGGAACCATCAGGGAATGTGTTCCTCTACTACCAGAATGAGCAGCTTTCTCTGCAAGACAAAATCTGCTGAAAATAGACAAATTTCAAGAGCAGGTTGACAATACAGCTAATCTAAGATAAAACACCTTGGAAGAAGCTTGTGAAATAGGAAAAAAGAAAATGGGGAAAATAGTCATTCAACATATTTGGCACATCAAAACAAAACCAGGAGAGGTAAGAAGAGAAACTGAGAAATGAAACAGGTGAAGTTCTGTAAAGTGGCTGATCATGTACGTGAGTTGAAACTTCTGGAAAATTGCAAATTCAGGTAGAACTCAGATTTGAAATCCTTGAAGTCACAAGAAAGATTATAAATCTTTTCACTTACTTTGAATTAATTTTTAAAACCTCTGCTCAACTGAAAAAGCATTGTAACATTAATGAGGAAGTTCAGGATCTAACATGTTTGGTATCTTTTAGCTGGACCATTGAAATCTATCATATCCTCTGTCATTTTTAAAACAGTTAAGATGTGCAGAGATTTCACAAAGATGTACAAAATGTCAGGACTCTATAAACTTCTTCAAGTATAAGGCTATAGGTCTATTCATGATCAGGAGAAAGTTTTAATTATGGCTCTGTTAGGAGAAAAAATGAGCATAACTTCAGTCAGAAATATTCACACTGCTGTTTTGTTTGTGATGTGCAATGGGATAGAGAAAGATCAACTGATTACACCTTAATTCTGAGCAACTTTTAATGCACTAGACACTTAAGGAGCTGCAAAATCAAGAAATCTCTGTTATTCTGTGTAGGTAAAAAAAAATCCTGTTTTGGTTCTATTTAATATTCTACATGTAGTTAATCTAAACTAATACATAATTATTATATTAATTTTTGATGGCAAAATAGTAGCTTGAAAGAAACACTGTATATGCTAACCTGTCGTCTTTAGCTGTAGTAACTAAATGGAGTATATAATTGATGGTTGATACGTATTGAAAGTTAGATGATAATAATAACCTTAATAATTCTTTGTTGTTTGGCTGTACAGATCTTAGCAAGCCAAAGTCTTTGCTGTTTTAGCTAATTGCTTGAGAGGAGCCATTCATATGGTATGAATGTCATATTCATACCATATGAATGGTCATACTCATATTCATAGGTCACAATATCCAGTTTTGGTCCTTCATGCCTGAAATTCATCTCAGTTTGGTGCAGTCATAAGATGGGCAAGTTATGACAGCTCTCTGTTGGTCATTTGAGAAGTAACAGCTTTCTGTGTTACATCCTCTGTGACTTCAAATATAGCTTTGTTTAATATGGGTTGAGA